ACAGACTGATATCATGAATGCTTGAGGTGTCTTACCAAGCAAGGTAGTGTAGTGCCATAACCAAGTTAAACTCATCTCCACAGAACATTTACAGAAAATGAAAATGTAATAATCACAAGTCATCCTTTCAGTGTAAATTTAATTGTAAATGCTATGGTTAAAAAAAAATCTTTTAATAAAATACTTTTTAAAAATAGCTTTTAAATCCTAATTTTGCCATTACTATCCTAGAAATGGTACTTGAAAAAAACAGTAGTTTTGCAGTATGTGATACTGGATCAAAGTCTTCAAGGGACCTACATTATAGAACCTGGTGAGATTTTATCTACCATGGACAGATAAAAGTCCTGCCCATCTCCTAGATTTCCACATTTTGTGGAGATAGTTCAAGTGTATATTGAAATGTTTGCTACTAATTGACAGAGCAAATTACTTTTGGAACCATATTTCCAAAGGGCCACTGAAAATTTATGTCTTCAATTTTACATGCATGGACTTCCATACCTTTGTGAATTTAATGTTTGTGTACTCTGGCATTTCCTAGCATTGAAAGAACAATTTCAAAGATGTGATCCTAGGACAGTTTAGTAGAATAGATTTTAGAAAAATAATTTACATTCTGCACAATTAACCATCTCAGTGTCTTCATCATACTTTCAAGTACTGTAATCAAAATTTTAACATGGAATTTTCTTAGAAGAGAGGATGAATTCCAGACATAAAACTGGAAAAAAAATAAGAATAAGACAAAAATCTGACTCGTTTTCTAGTTTCTACTTTTCAGAGAAGGCAAAGCCTGAAAATTTTGACTGCAAACCTAAATATCATAGTAAAGTCCATCTGATATACCAGGTTCTGAAATTACAGTACACAGAAAAAACGCAAACAATGGATTATTAATGAGGTCAGAAATACAAATAAATTTACTTCTAATGAAGACTGGAGACACAGTAATCAAAGTGTTAAAAATTCATTTCATGCACATCTCATTTGCCTCTTAGCTGATATTTACCACATAATTCTGTGAGAAAGTGGAGGCCTAAGATGCTCCCGATAAATGTCTCAATTAATTGTACAGAGGTAGCCCTCTTTGAGCTGAACCAGAGCTGTGAGCTCTTTATTAAAAGCACTATTCGGTAGCCTGTAACCTTGTTCCTTGACTCCTCTCTAGTTTCCAATTTAAACAAGTCCCCATGCAGCCCACTCTAAAGGGCTTTGTCTCCCTGTCATTGTTATGAGAGCCGAGGCATCCTGGAAGTGTGAAATCAGACCTCATGAGCTGAACGGTTCCCCAGGGAACGCCAGACCATGCAGAAGGTCAAAGTCATGGGCTGGACCATCTGAAAGCATCTGATCGGTGGTCTGTGACACAGCAAGAGGGGTGGGGGTAGGGGGACACAGGAGCCAGGGGCTAGAATTGAACACATCTTAATTAAAGCCCAAAGACAGCAAAATAAACTGTTTTCTAGACAGGCCATCTTATGGAGCTTGGGTTTTGCTCTGCTGATCTGAGTTGCTAACTATTACTCCTTTAAAACACAGTACTTCTGCTGAAATCGATCAAACCTGTGGAACATCTTTTCTCACACTGCTTGCTTCTCATAAGGCAGAGATTTTGAGTTTTATTTTGCGACACAAGGAAAAGGAAGGATGCACCTACCCCAGTAAAGGAGATGCAGGCACTGCTGCCAGCAGCCTTTGACCACCTATACCTGACTATGCTGTGAAAGGAATGTACATATCTGACTATTTCCTAAACCTAAACTATGCTACAGTAAAGGGTCCATTGCCTTCTGAAATTTTTAGGCATTATGTAAAAGCCATATGTATAATGTCAGAAGCCAACTATCATGATAAATCCATTATACTTTAGGTTTTACTGCACCATCAGAGAATTTCTTCATGTCACTCTAGGCATAGCTCCTACCCTGCTAGGGCTCCACAAGCAGCCAATCCTTGAGATGGTCTGCTAGAGAAACCACAAGTGAGAAAAGAAGTAGGGAAACAGGAAAATATAACTCCTCATAGCTGAAGATTTAGGGAGAAAACAGCCACCCACTGAATAGCTAAAACACAATTGAAGATTCAATTGAAAATTTCTTCTTATAGCAAGAAGAAAAAAATAAAGTCTACGCTCAGTGTCTTTCCATTTGTTAGATCACAGTTTCAAATAATCATACTAAAAAACATATAATTTTGAGGAAGGTGTATTTGCTGTGGCAATAATTTCCAACACAACGTAATTTTGCATTGATAGAATCCATTTGGTGGAAAATTGTGTTTTGACCATAGAAAGACATTGTTTTCCTCTGAAAAAAACATCCTCACAGATGCAGCAACTCCCCCAAAGATGCCCTGGTTTTCAGCTGCCCTCAAAGTCAAGCTGAGCTTTCAAGCACCAGTGGGGAATCTTTCAACCCCTCAGTGGTCCTTCCTTTTCTTAGACCTCCTTGCAAGTGGGTCGAGTGAGAAGTCTGACTTTATTTATTCTATACTGGGATATTTTTAATACCCAGTTATGGCACGCTCCAGCAGCAACCATTTCAAAATTGGTAGTGCCCACTTGGTCCCCTGCCCACAATTCAATTGAAATTTCAGCTCACCCTGACACCTTATTCAATGAATTTACATATGAGGGAGCTTGTAAGCTTAGGTCTGAACCACCACCCTTAATCATTCTCCTTTTAAAAAGAAATCTGTACTATCTTTTAAGATTTGAAGTGCACTGTCCAACACCAGGCTATTGAAACTGGAGAAAAAAAATGCCCTTGGCTATCAGCAGTTTATTAAGGGCTTAACTGAAGTGACCTACTGTAGTAGCATTCAGATGAAAAAGGCTATGAGCATTCTGACAAAAGGAGAAGAATTGAGGGTTTCATTAAAAAGTAATTTGTGTTTTTTACTCATTCATTCAACAGGAGTCTCAATTACTCTTTATTCACACAGAGTTAATACAGTATTACAATGCTGCTCAATGAATGTATAGTAACAAAAGAAAAAATTCATGTTTTGAAAGCGAAAAAAATCCTTGCAACAGCAGTAAGATTGATGACTACTTAAAAGATTACAGAAATCTTTTTCTGTCTGTGCTTATGCTTAATGATGGAATATTAAGGATTTTAAGAATCTATTCAACCCAAACTAATACAATCTGACTTATTACTTCATATGAAAAGATTCCTGGAAGTGAAATGGGATATGTCCAGCAGGCAAGAAGCAGAGCAAACCACACAGATACTATACAGTTGTTCTAGCTACTTGTCAGACTTGGGAACAAAAGATTAACTCTGAAAACACAACACAGTAAGAAAAGCAAACTAGTCCTTAGCTTTTACTCACAGATGCAGTCCTTAGTGGTGTGACTAACACCACTGATGGCAGCACTCCTCCTTATTGACTAGTAAGTATTGCTTAGTTGAATAAGAGTGGTGGGTAAAGTTTATACAAAATTTCTACAAACATGATTTATTGACAATCACCAAATAGCTACTCTGAGTTATTTCTCAATATTACTATTCAAGGTTTAATTTTAAATGAATAATTTGTACACACCAACAAGTTATTTAAAATAACTATAAATACTACAGTAGATAATAAACTCCCTTTGCCCTCTCTTCAAAATACCAGGTACTTTTGTCCAAAATATATAATTATTTCTTTCACATCTGAAATGTGCAGCCATCTCAGTAAACATATCTGCTGTATAAATGCTTTTTCTTACTAAAAACCAGAATATTTTGTCATTATAAGACAAGGGAAGATATGTTCTTCCCCTTCTTCCTGATTGTCATCCTAAACGCAATGTCTGAAAACTTTTGGTAGCTCTGTACACCTTTAATTGAATCAAATGTATTTCCAAAACAATTGTTCAACCAGCACAAATAACATGTTCATTCGAAAAAGTCGAAGACTGAACGAGATCAGGGACTGAATTATCCCATTTGCCCCTGAATAACTTAATCTCTCTCTCTGTTCAGACCACATTGGATTATAAGGTCAAAGCATATTGAGGACTCTTTAGAAGCATTCCTCCAACCTCCCCAAAAATAGAATCTGTTATTTTGTGTGCCACAAACTGGATCAGTTTCAGCAATAACATATTTCCACTGTTACCTTGTCTGAAATCCTGGCAGTCATGCTAACTATCAAAAAACTATTGAAAGTGAATAAGTTGTTATGTATCTACATCTGCTCCTGTAACAGAACATTTATGTCCTAACAGCAATGAAACCAGGTAAGTGTAGCTTCTTTTTTTTTTTTTTTTTTTTTTTTAAGCAGAGATGGTTGTTTTCTGACATAGATGCAGAAAATTTTGCTCCATTCAACTTGTCCAGTACAAAGGTGATTGTACTTAGAAGAAGCAACTTTGACATTTCTGGAAATATGGTCAGTATGGCTGAAATACTCTTTTCCTTTATTTTGAAAAGCTGAATGTCATATTAACTATTTAACTTATATCCCATAAAATAGAGAATTAAAAAAAATTGGTTTCCCTTCTTAAAAAGATAAGCAGTAGTTACACTAAACTGGATGTACTTGAAATCTCTGAAACCAACAGCAGCCTTGCTAAACATCTGACAGATATCAACTGATTCTTTTGGCAACAACTTTAAAGCAGTATCTAAGTCTAGCACCTCTCATTTGCGTTGTCCCTTGGAATTCAGCTTTAACGTTGATAATTTTGTATAGTTTCATCTACTAAGAAAAAGAAGAGTTTTCTATGTAATTTTTACATTGTCTCTGATGAAAAACGTGTATTTTGCCCTTATGAGAAATAACCTATGTAGGGCTATGCTAGGATTAGAGTGACTTGCTACCTTGCTTACAGAAGTTCTGTTTGCTTGTATTTAAATTTTTTCATTAATGAGCAAAAAGTGAAACTGCACAAACAGAATATAATATTTATATGAGCTTCTGTTTTAAGCATTTTTTTCCCTGTTTCTAAGAAGACACAGTTTTACTATGGTGTTTACTGTCACAGAAACTAAATGAATCCTTGCCTGTGACATCAGCTGCCATCAATGCCTCTGCCCTGATGACCTTCACCTGAAGAAATCCCACATCGTTGATGTTATGGAACATCATCATTGGACTCTAAAAAATAATAAAAAGAAAAATAATTCTGGATTGAAAAAAAGACAAATCAAAAGCAAGATTAATAGTCTCCTCCCTAGCCCAGACATAAGTTACTACATAATTATGTCCATATATTCAGACTTTTAAATATTATTTTCTGAAGAAGTACAGTTGTCAGCATTTCTTTCTGTACTTTGCTACTCTAACTTATCAATGAAAATTACAAAGGAAAAATTAGAATATGAATTATTGTATCTAACACTAATTCTAGTGAATCAATCCCCTAACAGTACACGAACAACTGTACTTCAAAATTTGAAATGAGAGCAGTGAATTAACAAAATTAATACAAACAATGAAAGTATTCTTCTCCCTGAATTATTTTGCAAAATCTGTGTTCCCATTTTCCTTTTGATGGTTGCAATAATATCCTAACATCGACCTAGCGCTAATATAGTTGTTTTGTAGTTGACTATTATAGACAAGCTTGCATATAACATATAGGCCTATATAATCTTGCAAGTAACATGAGCAAAAGCAATCAAGAGAGGATAACAACAACTTAATAATTTTCATAATAATCACATGCAAAAAGGATAAAAAAATAATTAAAGTAGGTTTCAAATTAAATGGCAGAAAGCTTTTATCATAAATCATTATATTTCTTTAGTACAAATTTCTTCAATATCTATACATATTAAAAAGAGAAAGAAAAAACTTAAGAGTAGACTAACATTTGCATTTATTCATCCAACAGTTTGAGAAAGCTGACTGAAAAGTATGTTCTGTTGTTGCTTTTTTTCTAAGTAACTAAAACTAACAAACTGTGAGTGTTTGTGTGACAAGCTTAATTCTCAAACTCTAACTTGGAATATAATTTAAAATGTGCAGAATTTCAGGTGTTAGAACACTGAATGCAACTTTGAATCTGTAATCAATTAATAACTAACCTAGCTTTACAATTCCATTTGATAACTAAGGAGAGGAACTCTAAAAGTATAGAGTAAAATAGTAAAATTATGGATTGCAAATACATTTAAAACCACATATAAATATGGCTTATTTTTTGTTTCTTTTGCAAGTCTTGTTTATAAATACTAGCACATATATTTATTTGAAAATCTGGACCAATGTGTTTAATGCCTGTTTTCTTTCCTAAAATTTTAATGTAGTGAAACATTTCCACTGTTACGACAGTGTTGAGGTTTCTATAAAAATCAAACATCAGCTAAAAGCCTGAATCAACAATTCCTTAATTTAGCACAATGGCAAAATTGACTGTTTGGAAAACCAGAATAAATAACATCACTAGATCTAAAACCCATACAGGCTGCCTAAATGAAATAATAAGTGTCAGCTTGCAAAAAACCTCAGTATGTTTATCCATACACAACCCATCCATTAAGATGCTAGTCATATAATATGCATCCTTGTCTATTAATAAGAGAAATTTAAGAGTTAATTCACACTGATATTAATTTTACAAGCCCCAACTGACCATTTACTGTTTACAGTGAAGATTTGACCTTGCTATATTGAACTGAGAAGTCCAGTTTACCATGTTACGTACATACAAATACATGTATGTTATCATGGAATAACAGTTAATAAATTTTTACCTATTTTAAGAAGTTAATAACCATAAATACAACTTCAAAATACTGATGGTCAACTTCAATCAGCACACATTCAACCCCTTGCTTATGTGCTTACAAGCTGAGGGTGAAAGAGATGGTGTTACAGATAGCACTGTTGTAATTCAAAGCACTGTGGCACTGCCCCTCCTTTATTACAGTAATGATCAGGTTTGCTTTTTGAAGCTTCTTATCGGAACTGGTACCACAGAGGCAATATTGCTCTAATACCATGACGAAAGCGAAAGGATTTATAAAAATATTTCCACATTCTACACAAGTTGCTCAATGACCAAAACAAACACCAAGCTGGAGAAATAAAACAAAGCAAAAACCAAATACAAAGCAAGGCAAGTGACTGCCCCCACTTCTTATGATGCCAGACAGTCCCCTTTTTCCAAATCCTGGTAAGTTCACTCCTCAAAAAGGCATCAGTGCTGTATTTTGCTTTGCCACCCTTGTTAGAATCCCACAGAATAATTATGTTTGAACTTTTAGTTCCAGCAAGTGAGCTGCCTTGGATTCATTCACACATCATAACTCTGCTGAAAATGTATATGATGCCACAGCAGAGGCTCTGGGAGAAGCGTATTACTTTAATACATTACTTTAAATACATAACTTTAAGTAATGATTTAACAGTATGAATTCTGTCTTCTTATTTATGATTATTGTTGAAGATATCAAAACCCACATGGTTTCTGAAGCCTCAAATTTCCATAGCAGAGGAATCTGTGATTTGCTGGGAATCTTTTCAGCCCTCAATAGATGGGAAAAGATTGAAATGCTCTGGAGATGAGTCCTCTTTATTTTTTTAATGAAAGGCTGTATAATATATTTTCTGTATGGCTGCAGCAGCTGTCAGGGAGAGCATCTCAGTTCAGCTCTATTATGGGAGAAGCAATACTCCACCCTATGGCATCAAGATACACTAAGGGGCCAGTACTGATTGACAGCTTGTCACCATGACGTCTTATTCCATCTCTGTTATGGAGAAAATTAATGTCACACCACCAGCCTTATGACTCGCTGTCATCTTAGAACTGCTCACCTTTTATCAATGCTCTAAATAACATTTCAAGCCCATCGTCTCACAGTGGACAATCTGGTCAAGGGACATTAAATCAGATGACTGTGAAATGTCATAATAAAAATGGAATGCTAACAACTTCTCTAAACTAGCTCCTCTGGTTTTTAAACTGTGACAAGGGGGACCATGGGTTCAGCACACCAGTTCTGAAAAGGTCATACAATCTCTCTTGGTCTGTACCCATTAATGCGCCCCCCCCCCCCTTCACCCCAAAAGGAATTAATTTTTTCAGACAATTGTGGTAAAATAATGGTTCAAACAGTAATGCCTGTTTAATTTGTAAGTCTCTGATGTTCAGCTACAAATGGTTAAATGACAGTAATAGAGTAATTTTCGAAGGCTATTTGATCTGATGGCAAGGTCAGCTCATTAACTGGTTTTGGCTGCAGAAAGGGTGCAAAATAAATTTCTCTAATGGAGGCTAGATTTTTTTTTAAGAGGACAAAAAATAAAACCAAAAATACAGCCATTCAGTGGGGAACTGTAGGTCTTGCTAATTGCACATGTTGCCCTTGTATCTGTTCTGAAGCGGAGATATGAATAGCAAAGACAAATTGAACATCACTGAAAATAAACTAGCTGAATTGTGTTAATCCCGGTAATTTCTTTCTTCTGCTGGTCATTTTATTAAAAACAGTAGAATTTATCAAAAAAGTTCATAGAAGCCACAATTTTCAGAAACACATAATGAGAAATTCACAGGTTTGCAATATGAATACTTTCCTAAAATATCAATGTTTTCAAATGCATACAGCAATGTAAGAAAAGACACATACTAGTGTATATGCAAGAAACAGGAATAAACCAGATCAATATTATGACACATAATTACGCTTTACACTGGGGACAACAACATGAGAATTTAAGAAACCTGATTAATAGTACACAGTTGTAACATATTTCTGTACTGCTACTGAAATAATCAAAACCATCAGTATCACTTGTCTGCCATATCATCACACAGAATAATCCACAGAAATAGGGTATTGTTGCTCTTGGTAGCAAGAACTATGTCACCTGAAAAACATATCCATCAGAAATTTGTCCTACTTATAGACATCTATTCTGACAACCACAGACTGTCTTGGTGGATTCCAAAATGTGCAATAACTCTCTTAATTGTAATTATTTTTCAAAGATGGTGGACAATACCTTAGCTTTCAGTACACTTAGGAATATTATATTTAGCCTCTCTAAGTCACCTCTATTAAACTGCGTTTATGATAACACTATTGGTGTATGAGTTGTACAAGCATTAGCAGACAGCTGATTCAGTGGAGATAGCCAGAATAAATTTGCTGAAGCGCACATCCTGCTAATCTGTTTGAATAATATTGTACAGCATTAGTACTAGCACTTCATGTTATCTGCACAGCCTGATAAGGTACATCTTTATTAAATTCAGTTATTGAAAGGATGTCAGTCATGGAATAGGAATATTTTAAAATCTTGGAAATAAATTAAGCAGCTCTTTGTTAGTCAGAGCTTGGTTTAATGGCTGAGTGTCTAGAGAAGCCTTTCTAAACACCTGGCAGCATTGTACAATAAAAGCTTTGTAATTGTAAGTGGAAATAGCATGTTTTTTTTCTTTCTTTCTCCATGCATAGTGAAACAGTTACTTTTAGGGATTCATGCATTAGCAAATGCTGTAGTAAGAGCTCCCCTCTCTGTTGCTTTGATAAAATTACAAAGATGCCGTGTAATGTGAGGATGCTGGGAAATGGAAATAATTTGCTTCAGAATATTTTGAAATGGAAATGCTGCTTAAAACAATTATTTTGACTGTATAAAATATTGCTTCAGCCTCAAATATGATGACAAAAAATAAGTTTTCTTGCCTTTTAACAGATGTTCCAAAAAAAAAAAAAAAAAGAAGCTGAAAACTATTGGCAACTCAAATTATTTGGCAAAAAAAAACCCACTAGAAATTGTACATTCACTGAGTGACCCCTTAGTTACTTTGTGCCTAGTAAAATTATGTGTAAGGCAGCAAAATTAACTTCCTTATATGACAACTTATCAAACAGTTGAATTACCATGTAAAAAATACTTTAGTGTACGAAGAGCATTTGTAGCCCTCTCGATGTTACCTGTACCAGTTGTAACTATTTCTATACTAGTAACTAGTTTAAATGATTGTCGTTGGCAAGGTGTTATTAGAATATATGAGATATATTTAGATTTTTACCCTCATGATAGCTATTTTTTATATAGGCAAACATTTTGCAAACAAAGGGTGAAAGAGAACTTCATACATATCTCTTCAGTATCTCCTCTCGTTCCTTCTGGTCCTCCAGGGAGTTAACGGAGAGGTCAGAGATAGTGACTGCAGCTGAGGCTGTGAGAGTGACCAACAACACCAGGTATCCCTCTCCCTCCTCTAGCGGCATCTCCAGCTTGTGGGTTTGTTCTTTACTCAGGGTCGACAGGTCAACTTGGCATCTAGAAACACACATTCTGCATCAGCATGTGGTTTTCCGTACATCAAACAAGAGCACATTGGCTTACCTGCATTCAAATGGACAAAAAAACCCCAAGTAAGAGAAACTCCCTCCAAGCTTCTGGAAAAAATTCTAAATTTATCTTCAGCCTTAATCCATGCTGCTTTTCTGACCTTTTTTTTTTTCTTTTCCGTAAGACTACACAACCCGTTTTGAAGTGAACAATAAATATTAAAAAGAATGTACAGATACTAGAGATAAGATTAGCTAACATGCCTTAAACACAAATATAATTTTAAAAAATTCAGCTTCAGATGCAAATTTTACTTTTAATTATGTCTCTTGTATAAAAAAAAAAGTAATTTTTGATGTGAACATTTTTGATACTGTTCATCTAACAATAATAAAAATCTTTTCTTAAAAAAAAAAAAAAAAAGAAAAGAAAAAGAAAATCTGTGTGGATTTAACTGTGATGGCATTAAGATGACTGAGCACAGAAAAATTCAACTTGAGCACTACCTGAAAGGCTCAGCTCTCTTGCAGTAAGCTGTGTGTGGCTCAGGGTCAAAGCTTCATGCAGGCAGCCAGGATAAAATCTGATGCCACAACCCCCTATATAATAAGATGTCTCACTTTGTAATGAGCAGGGACTGCTTATAACTGCGCAGAGTGGCTGAAGCCAATCCGCCCTGCTTGATCCCTTTCTGAATAACTCTGGCTGTACCATACACTGAACTAATGAAGAATGACTCTATAGCTTCCAGACAGCAGAAATAGCTTTGCAACATCTTTAGAAATACAAGGCAAAACATGGAAAGAAAAACAGTATCACTGCTATCAAAGAGCTGACCATAACCTTTTAAATAAAACAGTAATATCTTAGGGTAAATAATTAGTGCACAGCTTAGAAGTTTCAATATTTTAATTTGTATAAAGCACAAATTTCAACTTTCCTAGATTGCCACTCTGAGTGTGTGTAGAAATTCAGTGTCCATGTCAAATGTAATGCCAGTTTGCACTGCACAGAAATTTCTGTGAAAATGCACTATTTGGAATACTTATAGCATCCCAAAATGAGTTTTTCCAAAACTCATTACTCTAAAAACAGTAACAATACTGAAATAAAATAAACGCATATATTCTATATCTACTTTAGTCATTGAATACCCTCCTTTCAACTGTGATTATTTAATGTGACAAGCTGGTATGTGACGTACTACATGCAGCTAACTCACTAAACTAAACATCTAGCAAACTCTAATAATAAAATGTCAATTGATTTTGAAGAAAAAAATAATGTGGTCACCACAGGGTCAATAAACTGAGAAAAAGGTGGCAGACATGAATAAATAGCCATTTAAGGACAAGAAACAGTCAATTATGAGAGTAAATGCAGCCTCATAAAATGAGCATTGTGCTATTATAGGCAGATTAGATTTGCTACAGGAAAACTGTCTTTTATTATTTTAAAAACATTTACTGTCTGTTGTGCAGCTGTCTAAACTACTGCAAAGCTCATATGGTAGTAAGGTTCAATTATCTTGCAATGAAAAAATTTCTAACTGACGTAGCATTTTGAGCTTAATGTTTACCTTCTATTTTGAACCCTTTGGATGATAAGGAGTGAGAAATTAAATCAACAACAGTAAGGAAAAATAAAGCTATTGCTGTCAGTGCAGGCTGATGGCCAATACAAGTTTTGCGTATGTACACAGACTGTCCAATTTTTATTTACAATGCAGTGAGAACTATAAAGCCCTCCTTAAGATAACAAATATTGTAATCAAGCATTCAAAGCTGGAGGAGGTTAAAATACCTCTGATCTTAAATATTCTTTGATAATTTATTTCAAAACAGATACCCCTCAAAAATAGGGCTCAGCAACAATATTCAGACTTCAACTAATAATCACTTAAAGAACCAGTCTAAACTCTCTTAAAGTCAGTAAAAGAATCAGAAAGTCATTATGATACTAGTAATGCAGAAATAATCCGGCCCTCACTCAAAAATAGGCAACAAAAGCTAACCCCCTGGAGAACAACACACCTACATTCACCAGAAAAACGCAACGAGTGTTAAATTTCAGGGTCTACATCAAAGTTACAAGATAAAATTTCTCCAGTTCTTTTGCAACATTGTCATGTTATTTTCTATTTAGGCTAAAAGAAGCAACTGACAATTCAATTTTATCTGTGCTCCTTTCCTACAGCTATGAAATACTCCTAATAGCAGAACAAATTACCTGAGAAGTATGGCTCTACTGACTGCTTGATAAATCTCCATGAACAGCCCATTTCCTAACACCATACAAATGGTAGGAAATGCTCTGGAAACCTTTTTTTCCAGTGCAAGCCTTAATAATTTTAAATGAAAAATATCCTCTGAAGGGTCCTCAGATAATATGATGAAAATCTAGAGTTATTCCACTAAAGTGTCACCACTGCACTTTATAGAAGTCCTAGTTCAGAATGTCCTTGTGCCTACACAGTCAGGTGAAAGCACATTTCTCACTCTCTGCCAGGTCCTCTCACCCCTGGTCTTGCAGGGGATGAAGCTTGCATGTATCTAATTCAAAGGTACCAAGGCTCAAGGAGCATCCAGCATAAGGTGAGTGCATCTACAACACATGTGCTTCATACAAATGATAAGACTTTTCAATTTACAGACACTATAAAAGAAACTGCAATTTTTTTCCATTAGTAGCTGAATTTTTCACGATAAAAAATCAAATTTGTTTGCTCTTATGCCAAATTTTCCTAAAAAATAAAATAATTTTTTGTTATATCTACTTTGTCCTCAACAAATCTTTGTATGGGATCAAAAAAAGTGAAGGAAGTCTGGTTTTGTTAAGGCATTACCATAACACTAACCCTATCCTAAAATAACTTTGACAGACACCAACAGGAAAAACACAAAACTCCTTTTTGTATTACATTTCCTTAGAAGGACTGAAGTTAATAAAATACTTCTAAAGATAAGTATCTGCTGGGAAAATATCTATTTTCCAAATATAAATAACTTCAGAAAGTTCAAGTTGACAATGCTTCCTTACATTTTACTGACAGTATATACAAGTGTTCCAATCTTTAAGGCTTTAGCAACGCTGACTTACATCAGTTAAGATGTTCTCTTAAAGACATTTGTCACCCACAACTGTTTCCATGGAGAACAAAGATGCTTTGATGATGAAGGTGAACTTGAATGTTATCAGAAAGGGGTGCAAAATGAGTGAGAAATTTTTGTCTAGTTTTCTCAAATCAAGGACCATGAAAAACTACAGCCACTTCGAGAAGGCCGTAAGTTGCATATGACCAGCAGCTGTCACACTGAAAGCATGAGATAATAGCAACTTTGAACAATCCAGTTTCTTAAGGAATTATTACTCACATGATACTGCTGAAAGAAAAGAGTTCTCCACCTGTAAGGAGGTCAGCCTGAAGAATTACAGCAAAAAGTTTGCCATTAACTCCATAGACAGATTTCCAAGCATCACTATAAATCACATCATAGAGAGAACTGTAGTTTTTTGGGCAGTTTGAGAATTTCTGCATATTCCATGATGTATGGTCCCTTGGCAGCACTGCAGGTGATGGACTGGGGCACTGGAACCGTTGCCATGGCTGGCTGACCCCTCAGAAAGAGGTAGTAGGAGTACACCCCCCCCCCCCATCAGTTCTGCATGTGAACATTCACAGACACCATGTGTATTTGGATTTTCAGGCCTTGAGAGATCAGAGGGGAGAAAAAAACATACAAATGCATCAAGCTTATGTGCCAGAGTTATTACAGATACAGATACAAATTGCTCAGAAACAAGGTACAGCTCCCATGGAAGAAAATTTGAAGGTTCAAGGGGAATCTACGACTTGTCTGAAACTGTGTTCAGTGTGTTAATCGTCCAAACTCTCAGAAATATATTTCAGATTTATTTTTAATTTGAATATATCTGGCCTTTGGTTCTTTTTATGCCTTTCTTTACCCAGTTGAAAAAGCCTTTAGTGTTTCATGTTTTCTTCTAGTGAAGGTACTCATACGCTATAATCATATATCTTCTTCATCTTCCTTTTGATATGCTAAACATCTTCAGCTCCCTATACATTTCCTAGGAACATATCTCCTGCAGCCCTCAAATGACTTTTTGTAACTTTTCTGATCCAGTGAAATTCTCCTGCATCCTTTTTAAAGTGTGGAAGGCAGAACTATATGTAGTATTTTATTATCAGCATGTCTAACAGGTAAAAATCACCTCCCCTCTCTAGTTCTAACAGAACCTGGAATGTAAGACTGCGTTGGCACCCTGGTGAAATATCCTTGCTAATGAATGAATTACAAAGGTAGCAACATGACATAGAAGGCCTCTTAAAAGCCAGGTGGCCAGGCAAGTGAGAGACAGCAGATAGTGAGATCATTTTCTCACATGACAAAATAAAGCCTAAAAGAGGAACTGGCACAATCCTAAGTGTTAGGGACAGAAAAGCACCACTTGGCTACAAACCAGGCAACTTAATTACCATTATGACTTGTTCAGGAACACAGCCTTTTAACTCCACTGTGATCCAGGTCTATGCTGCTCCAAAGGATGCCAAGGAGAGGAAACTGTATGATTCCACAATTAGAACTGAGCTGGACACACATCAGAAGCAGCGAGGCACGAACTGCTACAATTAGTGAGACTCCATATCCTTTATGAGCAGAGTAAAATGTTCCAGTAAAACCAAGGAACAAAAGGAGAGGGAAAATTCTGCAAAGCACTGACAGAAAATGACACATCTCAGAAACACTCAGTGTTGACTGCAGTAATGTGAACTTCTTGGAAGAATCAGAGCGTGACATTTTTAACTGTAAAGATAATGAAAAAGAAATTAAATAATGGACTACATATGATGCTTGTGAGAGGTGTTCGATAAAGGTGATAGACTGAAAACCAGGAAAGCTCCTAAAGGAATTGGAAAGTGTAACTCAGCTAAGTAGGACACTGACTGAGGACAAGAATTGTGGTGA